GCTCCTGCCGCCAGGGCTACCGGGAACCCTGCGGGGTCCCCAACGGAGGATACTACCAGCCAGAGGGAACCCTGGAGAGGCGGCGGCTAGCCTACGGGGGGTACGAGGGGCCCGCACAGGGCTATGCCGAGGCCTCTGTGGAGAAGAGGCGCCTCTGCAGATCGCTGTCCGAGGGTCCGTACCCCTACCCCCCTGAGCTGGGGAAACCAACCAGTGGGGACTTCAGCTATCGCTCCCCAGGATACCGGGAAGTGGTGATCCTGGAGGACCCTGGTCTGCCTACCCTATGCTCCTGCCCTGCTTGTGAGGAGAAGCTGGCACTGCCCACGACAGCTCTGTACGGGCTACGGCTGGAGAGGGAGCCTGGGGAGCGGTGGGCGAGCGAGGCCAGCAAACCTCTCCTGCACCCAGTGCGGTCTGGGCACCCACTGCCCCTGCTGGTGCCAGCTTGCGGGCATCACCATGCCCCAGTACCTGACTATAGCTGTCTGAAGCCTCCCAAGGCAGGCGAGGAGGGGCACGAGGGCTGCTCCTACACCATGTGCCCTGAAGGCAGGTATGGGCCTCCAGGGTACCCTGCCCTCGTGACATACGGCTACGGAGGAGCAGTTCCCAGTTACTGCCCAGCATATGGCCGGGTGCCTCACAGCTGTGGTTCTGCAGGCGAGGGCAGGAGGTATCCCAGCCCTGGTGCCCACTCCCCACGGGCTGGCTCCATTTCCCCGGGCAGCCCGCCCTACCCACCATCCAGGAAGCTGAGCTACGAGATCCCTGCAGAGGAGGGAGGGGACAGGTATCCGCTGCCCGGGCACCTGGCCCCAGCAGGACCCTTGACATCTGCAGGTGAGGGGCACTGGGGTGAGGAGTGCCCAGGGCAGAGGAGGGTTCTGGAGTACGGTTGGGAAGGCACAGAGTGAGAAGGAGCTAAGCCAGACAGAAGGCCTGTTCCTGGCTCACAGCCTGTACTCTCCCCTGCAGAGTCGCCTGAGCCAGCGCCCTGGGGGGAGGGCCCCAGCAGGCACAGCACCCTGCCTCGGTCTTCCCAAGAAGCCCAATGCAGTGCCTCTTCAGAGATGTCTGGTCCCTCCACACCCCTGCACACCAGCAGTCCGGTCCAGGGCAAGGAAAGGTAGGCAAGTAGCTCCTTTCCCAAGTAGACACTGAAGGCTGGGGCTGGGGGCAGTTCACAACAGGGGCTCTGAGCCCCTGCTGACCACCTGCCCTCCCTCCCCGCAGTGCCCGGCGGCAAGACACCAGGTCCCCCACTTTGGGGCCCACTCAGAGACTGAGTCCTGGAGAGGCCTTGCTGCCTGTATCCCAGGGAGGTGCTGAAAAGCCTCCTGAGCTGCCAGCAAGAAGTGGGCTTGAGGTGCCAGCAAGAAGTGGGCTTGAGCCTCCAGCCCCTAGCCCCTTCTCCCCGACCTCCTCCCCTAGCTCACCCAACGACTGGCCTCAGGAGAGGAGCCCGGGGGGCCGCTCAGACAGCAGCAGCCCAAGGGGCCCTGTGCCCACTACGCTGCCTGGCCTCCGTCACGCCCCCTGGCAGGGACTTCGAGAGCCCCCAGACAGCCCAGATGGGTCCCCCCTCACCCCTGTGCCTACCCAGATGCCCTGGCTCGTGTCTAGCCCAGAGCCTCCTCAGAGCTCACCCACGCCTGCCTTCCCCCTGGCGGCATCCTATGATGTCGGTGGCCCCACCCAGCCCCCCCTTCCCGAGAAACGCCACCTGCCGGGGCTTGGACAACAGTCAGGCCCCTGGGGCCCAGAGCAGGCATCACCACCAGCCAGAGGCACCAGTCACCATGTCACCTTTGCACCTCAGCTCCCGGATAACACCCCTCAACTTCCAGGTACAAAGGCCTTGAGGGCGAGGGTGTGGGGAGCCACCTCGGGAGAACGCTTTTTCCCAGGGAGGGGCATGGCGTAGGGACTTGGGAGCCATGGGGCCAAGCTCAGTCCCTCCCTGCCCTAGAGCCCCCCATGCAAGAGAGCCAAAGCAACGTCAAGTTTGTCCAGGATACATCCAAGTTCTGGTACAAGCCACACCTGTCCCGTGACCAAGGTGAGGAGCCAGCCTGCCCATCACTCCCACCTTCCCGGGCTCTGTCTTTGGACCCAATCCAGCCTTCCAGTTGACACCCTTGTTGCCTCCTCCCATCCCAGTGTTTACTCTGAGCTGAGCTGCTCACTAGCCGATGATTCTGGGGGTTGTGCCCAAGGTTAGACTTAATGTTGTCAATGCCCTCTTAATTCTAAAGTTCTGTACCCAGATGCCCAACACTGCCACAGCTGCTGGGGTGAGGGCCTGGGGAGCTGGCTAGCAGAGCCGGGGGGGGGCGGGGGGGCTCGGTCAGCTGCTGTGAAAGCTCCTCCTGCCTTCCCCAGCCATTGCCCTGCTGAAGGACAAGGACCCTGGAGCCTTCCTCATCAGGGACAGCCATTCATTTCAAGGAGCCTATGGGTTGGCCCTCAAGGTGGCTACACCCCCACCCAGTGCCCAGCCCTGGAAAGGTACAGAATGCCCAGACCCAAGAGGGAAGGGGAACGGAGTGGGGCAGGTACAGAGGCAAGAAGAGAAATGGTGGGCCATGCTACTTCTCAGCGGGGAGGGACAGGAAGTGACTCTCATGCTCTGGAAAGAATCCCAACAGGATAGAAGGCAGGAACCTGGAATCTGATAAAGCCTTCCTCTCCTCTCCTGGCCTCCCAGGGGACCCCTTGGAACAGCTGGTCCGCCATTTTCTCATTGAGACTGGGCCCAAAGGGGTGAAGATCAAGGGTTGTCCCAGTGAGCCCTACTTTGGTGAGAAGCAGGGGCTGGGGAGGCTGGGGGCTGGGCTGGTTTAGGGAGGCCAAGGAATTACAGGAGGGTGGAGGGAAAGTTGGGGCTATCTGTGGGCACCTCAGGAATTTTCGCGCCTGTCGCTGCAGGCAGCCTGTCCGCCCTGGTCTCCCAGCACTCCATCTCCCCGCTGTCGCTGCCTTGCTGCCTGCGCATTCCCAGCAAAGGTGGGTGTGTCGTTGTCTGCTTTCCCACCTCCCCACCCGCTGCAGCCAAAGGCAGAATCCGGGGCCTGGCTCCCAGCTTACCTTCCCTGGGGATGGCAAAGGGAGTCATCCAGCTCCTAGGGAATGCCACCCGCTCCCTGCTGACCTCCCTGTTGGCCATTTCCCTCAGATCCTCTGGAGGAGACCCCAGAGGCCCCCGTGCCCGCCAACATGAGCACAGCGGCAGATCTCCTGCGTCAGGGTGCCGGTAGGGCTCTCTCCCTCCGCTCTTCCCTCTTCCTAGGCACCAAGGGGGCACGATAGAGGCACGGGACACTGAAAGGCCTTGAGATGGAGGGCCCTGCAGAGCTTTTAAACACAATGAGGCAGGGGTGGATAAGGGGGTCCTCAGTGTAGGCTCTCAAAATTTTGTGAACATGAGAATCCTGGGGAGGCGGGCTTATTAGAATGCAGATTCTCAGGCCTCTTTCCAGCATTTCTGACTGTAGATCTGGGAGAGTCATAGAATCTGCATTTTTAACAGGTTGCTTATGTGATTCTAATGCGTTTTGAGCAGCACTAGCCAGGAAAAGTATAAAGCTGGGGGACTAGGGGAAGACAGATCTGGGGGCTGACAGACTGTGCTCCCCCCAACCCACTTCTTGCCCCCGTAGCCTGCAGTGTGCTCTACCTGACCTCAGTGGAGACCGAGTCGCTGACAGGCCCGCAGGCAGTAGCCCGGGCGAGCTCTGCAGCTCTGAGCTGCAGCCCCCACCCAACACCAGCTGTTGTCCACTTCAAGGTCTCAGCCCAGGGCATTACGCTAACAGACAACCAAAGGAAGTATGTATGCCAAGCCCCTGGGGAACCCCAAGCTTAGACCCTTGAGACCCCAATTTCTGGGTGATTCCCCCTCACTCCTCTTCGCAGGCTCTTCTTTCGCCGCCATTATCCGGTGAACAGCATCACCTTCTCCAGCACTGACCCTCAGGACCGGAGGTGACCCTCCCTCCCAACCCTTTCCTCCCATAGCCCCGCAGACCAGTCCCCTGCCCCAGCTTCTCCTTTGGTTAGCCATTCCCTGGGGTGCATTCCTTCATAGTTGTTTTCCTTCTGCAGATGGACCAACCCCGACGGGACCACCTCCAAGTAAGCTTGCCCACTAGTGCAGTCTCTTCCCTCCACTGCACCGAAGTGCATCCTTCCTCCCCAGCCCTGGTCCTGCAGGCCCCTGTGGAAGGGGTGCTGAGCCATCTCCCAACCCTGCCTTTGTACTCCTAGGATCTTTGGTTTCGTGGCCAAGAAGCCAGGAAGCCCCTGGGAGAATGTGTGTCACCTCTTTGCAGAGCTTGACCCAGATCAGCCTGCAGGCGCCATTGTCACTTTCATCACCAAAGTTCTACTGGGCCAGAGAAAATGAAGGAAGGCCACAAGCTCAGAGCCCACATCAACACTGCACCCCTCCCAGCACCCCACAGCCCTCACTTCCCCTGGCCTGGACCCAGGAGACCCAGGAGCCAGCCCCCTCCGTTAGGGAGTGGGCATCAGCCTGGGACACTGCTCTCCTTCCCCGCCCCCAGCCTGCTAAGCTAAGTGGACAGGCCGTGAGATGACCTTGCACGTGAGCAGATGGCAGAGATGGGCATGTGAAGGGAGGAGGCATCAGCAGTTGAGCTCTGGAGGGGCTCAAGACAGCCCCGCCTATGCAACATCAGCCCTGGAGAGGAGCCAGCTCCACCAGCTGCAGGTCCCAGCATGGGGAGAGGGGAGAGGTGTGGGGAGCAACGTGCTCCCTCCTCTGCCTTCCCCTCTGAGCAGAGAGATCAGAGTGGGAACACATGAAAAGGGGGGAAAAAAAGAGTCTATTTTTGTCTAATAATAAAGAATTTCTATAATGTTTAGTCAGAGTTTGGAGTCATGCCTGTTCACAAGAGGGGCAAAGCCTCGTGTCTCCCGGGTGCACCTGTGCAGGGGGCATCCCGTCTTCAGAGCCAGGTCCTGGAACATACGCGGTCCCCATCCTTGGCCTCACATTGATCCACATGTCCCAGTGAGCAATCTGCCCTCAGCCACCCCCAGCTCCAGCCCTGGCCCCAGTCCTATGTACGGGAAAGGACCCCTGTGTCCTGGCCATGCTGATAAATATGGAAACTCCATCTTTATTGGCTGTATAAACATCTCTGTCTGTACATACAATTCATACATCATAGTGCAGGGCCTTACAGGAGGGCCCAAGGGGAGGCCCCAGCAGCACAACAGCTACCTTTCCTTTCCCCAAAGCCCTGCCCACTCTGTGCAAACCAAGGCCAACAGTTCCTGCTCCCGTTTCCCCAGAGAAGTCACGGTATGGGGAGGGGCGTCAGAGGTCAAAGGGGTAGGAGACAAGAGGGCTTGGTGGGGAAAGACACGTGTAGGCGCTAGAATCAAACACTGAAGCAAAATGGGCAACTGGCACAGGCAGCAAGCAGGGTCAGAAAGGGGAATGAGGGGCCCAGCTGCCCTCCGGGTTACTCAGTGAGGGCTCTGGGGTCTTGCCCTCTCTACCACAGGAGAATCATGCTCTGGAGCCTCAGCCTGCACCCCAGGGAACTAGACACAAGGGTGCCACTGGTAGACCAAGGATGACAAAGGGGTGATAGGAACGAAGACCTCTGTCTCTGGTCCCCACGTGACAGCCCCTCTCTATGCCATTAAACAAGTAATGGGCACCCATTTGTGTGTCCAGCTGGGGGAACTGAAGACTCATTCTCCGTGGAACTCTGGTGCCTAAACAGGCAGTGAGGGAGAAAGCCGGCTGTCGGGAGGAAGAACAGAGACCCTAGAGCCGTCTTCTTGGGACAGCAGTCAGTGGAAGAAGAGAGGGCCCAACACAGCCCCCCTAGCCCAGCCAGGGGGGATGACAGCAGCAACTGGTTCACACGATGAGGACAGGGAACAGAAAAGAGAAAATGCAAGGAGAAATACTGTGGTAAAATGGGGAGGGGGCTGTTTCTGTTCCACCCTCTGCAAAGCCTCAGGCCCAAACAGCAGCTGAGACAGAGTGCTCATTTCTCTCCACTCACTAGGGCCAGTGGGGAAAGGGGGATGTGGAGCCCACTGGCCAAAGCAAGCAGGACCCACTGATGTAACACTATTCTTTGCACCTGCTCCTGTCCAACAAGGAACCAAGACCCAGGGACCGATGATAAGAGCAGCACCAGGTCAGAAACATGGGCACAGAAAGGCTCGGCAGGGGCCTGATCTGGTAGGGGCACAGTGACTGTATACCCTTGGGACCAGCCAGGTAAACAAATCCTCAGGGAAGTCAGGAACTGCGTACCTGGTCCTGTAAAGGGGCAGGAGAGGGAGAAGAAGCCGGTGTTCAGAAGTCCCTAGCCACTCAAGGGGTGCAGGTCCACTTTGACTTTCTCCCCACAGCTCAGCATTCCGATGGTGGGAAAGAAGCCCCCCGAGGGAACAACGGCATCCTTCTTCCCGATGATCTTGCCATTCCGAGTAAAGAAAACCTGGGGGTGGAGGTGGGGAGAAGGGTGGAGCAGGCAATTCTGGCCTCTCCTCTGAGGATGCTGGAGCTACACAGGCCTGACCCCGGTACACTCCCAACTCCCAGCATCGTTTGCAGAGACGGGGTGATGCAAGAAGTAACCACAAGAGGGCGTCCTAAGGCTGGAAACCAGAGTCTCTCCTCCTCAGCACTCCCAGTACTTCAGTGCAGGAACACCCCCATAGCAGCACCAGGCCTTCCCCTCTTCCGTACCCTGGCTCTACTTTCTAATCCCACTAATACCAGCCCTTGTGCAGGCCCAAGAACCCCAGTCCAACTCCAAGCCCTCCACACTCACCACCACTTTCTTGCCCTCATGCTCTTGCTCGATCTCTTCTCCATCTTCTTCTTCTTCTTCCTCTTCCTCCTCTTCTTCTTCCCCTTCCTGGTGCAGGTACATAACATTCCGGACATTCCGGACAGCTCGGGCAGTTGGGGACAGGATCACTGTGTCACAACTGTCATCACTGTCACCTAGGAAGCCAGGGAACCTGAGCTCCTGTGGTACTGCTCCCACCCTCTGCCCTACCAGCCTGGTTGGACACCCCCACCCCACTCACCCTCACTGTCCAGAATGTAGTCCCGGGGGAACATGATTCCACAGCCCATAATGTCGCCTTTGTAACAGCGTGGCCCAAAGGGGTCTCCCACACCACTGCCATGGAAGATCTTCCCATCATCTGTTGGAGGGAGAAGTGAGAACATACTGTGAAGGAGGGGCTGACACTCTACACCCCCCGAGAGCAGCCCTGGGTTGAAGGTGACATTTCCCTACCTTCCTCTCTGGCCCAGAGAAAGTGAGGAGATAGGTGAAAGAAAGATGTAGAGACAGAGATGGGAAGAGGGCACCAGATTAAAAGAGAGCGAGGCGGGGGGGCGGACCCTGTGGGCCCACTCCAGGGGCTAAGGGAGAGACTCCTCAGGGAGCTGGTCAGAGAGGGGAGAGGGGTCAGGGATTGGAGGGAAGAGGTGGGACCGGGAACTCACGGTTTGTCCTTCCTAAAGAAAGCACCAAAGGAAATCAAGCTGACCAAAAAAAGAAAATGCAGAATCTGCAGGAAGGGCGCAGAGAGAGCCAACTCAGAGGCCTGGAATGTCCAGCTTGGGCCCAGATCCCCCACCCTTGCTCTGCTCCCTGGCTTTCAGAGCTTGGAGGAAAAACACAGATGAGGAGAAAGCCGCTTTGGAAGGAAAGCAGATGACAGCAGGGGAAAGTCTCTCCAGCCAGATGCTGGAGGAGATGCCGCTTGTGAGGGTCACGAAAATGGATGTCTCTGTGTTTCTATATCCCCACAGCCCTAGCTTCACCAGGGCAGCCCCTGCTCACCTGCATGGTAAGCCACAGACCCTCTGCTCCAGCCAGGGTGCCTGTTCTTGGGATAATCCTGCAAGAAGAAGAAAAAAAAGAAAATCTATGGTACAATGCACAAAAGAGAGCAGGAGAGAGTGGCACCTGAACCTTCAATCTTCTGGAATAAACTACAACCCAGATGGCTGCTCACCACCTCTGGAGCCTCATCTGCTTCAGGCACGTGAGGGTGCAGGGGAAGCAGGAAAGCTGAGAGAGGTTCTTGGCTTTCCTGGCCAGGGCTGTAGGCTGCCCGCACCCCATGTCCTGGGCTCGTCGAGTGTGTGGTGCAGTCAGGACACTCTCAGGTCCTAGGTCACTTGGGGTCGGCACCCTCACACAGCAGACCCACACAACCATGTCCTGTCTCAGGCTAAGACCCTCCCTCTGCAGCCTGGCCCCAGACCCACCCAATAGCCCCCAAGTGAGCAGCTCCACAGGCAAAAACAGCACTAGTGCCCACCTTCCGGGCCAGCCCCAGGGCGATGTAGCATTTCTCTCCAGGGTCTACGATCTCCACCTCGAAGTAGTGGCTACGCGTGCTCAGGGGGTGCCGGGCCTGGGCCAGCCCTACGTCAACAATGCTCTTGCCCTTGCCCAAGTACTCCAGCAGCTGTGGGGGAAGAGCGGGGAAAGGGGAAGGAGGCAGGCTGACTCCCACCCTGGAAACCTGGTCCCAAGGCACTCTGGGGACCAGTTTCCTATGCCTGACAAAAACCCTGGCTGAAAGGTAAAGGATCCTAGAGGTACAATGTGGGCCTCCATGTTCTAGACAGAGATGGGAGAACAGGGACGGGGTAGGGTAGCAACGTGGCAGCATGAAGAAGTGGGCTGAGCCACTTGCTGAATGCTTCACCCACCTGCCTACCGAGCCAAAGACCATCTCCTTGTTTTGGAAGAGACAGGGAGAGCAGAACAGCAATACAAAGGGCTGAGTGCTGGGAACAGCACTAGGGGTCCCCAGGCTACATCATCACCTCCCTGAATGACCCTGCTGGGAAAGGTACAGCCTTGGCTCCTGAGCAAGAGAAAAAGAGAAGTGAAGACTAGGCTCAGAGGAAACCTGACCACTTTCATAGGGGGCCTAATGGGGACAGGTTAGGTGCCAACTCCAGATGTTTGGGGGAGGGGAGGCAAGCTCAGAAGCCAACTCAGCCTGGGATGGACCTGAAATAATTCCTCAAGGTCTTTGTTTTACTTGGCTTCGAACAGAGCTGTTCACAGCTGGGGTCAGGGAGGTGCTGAGGGGAGCCAGGGAACTCAGAAGGACCAGCTCTACTCCTTCATATAATGTGAGGGAGAGGAACAGGCAGAACAAAGCTAGGAAGGCAGGTTTTGCAGTTCTCAGCCCCTCGTGGCTCTTTCAAGCTGGAGTAGAAGTGTGGAGGGGGAGGAGAGGGACATGACTGATGGGCTCTTGAGGCTCTTCAGTCCCGCAGTGGTCGTTTGGGCATGATGGGGCAGCAACCCCCAATCTGGGAGGATTTGTTTATCAGTTGTCATGGTAATAATGGGCCTATGACTCAACTCCATCCCTTCTTCCTCCCCACCTTCAGCATCACCTGGGATTCCTTAATCCCTTTTTAATTAGCCAAACTATCCCTTAAGACTTTCTTCTACACTCCCACCCTTCCAGCCCTAAAGAATACACACTCCCTGGGACCTCCTTCACTTCTCCCTGGCAAGCTTGAGAGGCTGGCCTCTCACCCCGCTGCCAGAACAGGAAGGGAATTATGCTCACCCGTGCCTGCGTGGAAACCTCCATCTTCAGCAGAGGCAAGTCCTACATCCTTACCACTTCCCTTCAGAGAGCATATAAAGGGACTTGGTCCCCTACTCAGCCCTGGATTCCCACAGCCCTGCCATCTCAAGTCCATCCTCCCTCTCGAGAGAGAAATGGAGGCAGATGGTGGCAGGGTGGGGGTGGGTCAGGGTAAAAGCGGGAGATGTACAGGAGGCCACCTAAATTCACACCCAGGCTGACACTTCCCTCATTCCTACAGCCAGGGTCTTACTCGTCTCGAGTTACGTTGGCTTTTCTATTTATATTTGTAGCCCCATCTTCTCCATATGTCACACTGCTTTGATTCATCAGAGAGAGGTCCCCTGCATCACCTCCTGAGTTTCTGGATGCTAATTAAGACCCACACTGTTTGCATTCTGTTTATGGTCCTCTGAGTGTTCTCTGCTTGGCCTGGGTTCCTCCTCTCAGTCTCTCCTCACAAGCCAGAAGGGATGTGGCTTGATGCACACTAACAAGCTTCTACCCCACCCAGTCCAAGCAGCCCCCAGCCCACCCTCTCCACCCAGCATTGCAGAACTGGGTGGGGGGCCCCACAGCTGCCTTTGACCCACTCCATCCAATTGGCCTCAGTGCAGGAAACACAGTGTTCTCCACTTTCAGAGCCAAGAGAGTGGATCCAGGCCCTGATCCTTGGGAAAAACCCGCCCAACCATTCCCACTACCTCAGCCCTGAGAAGGCAGTGCTGCAGTTTCATCTATGGATAGGGTGGGGATGCTTCTTTAAGCTAAAAGGCCAAGAAAATTAAACACACTAACTTGGGACCCTAAATCCACTGCCCACTCCTTAGAGCAGTTCAGACAGACTGCTGATGGCCCAGAAGACTGGATCCCTGCACAATTTGCCCTTTTCTAGAGAGGAACCACCCACCCCTCAGGGTAGAAGCCACATCAATTCATCTGTTCCTCTTGGATCCACTTTCCTGCTCCTTGGCAAAGATGCCCAGGCCTTCCAGAGCCTTCTCAGAGCACTCGGAGGGACAGAGAGGGGAGGGGGGAAATTCAGCCTCCCTGACAGGTCCCTGTTTAAGTCCACTCCTCCATTCCTTCTACAAGGGCTATTAGGAACCTAGAGAGGATGGAAGGTTTAGTCCCTAGAGCCTTGGCTGCTAGAAGCTTGATGCTGGTCCCTTAATCTGTGCCTCAGATGACTCTTAGTTTGAAAAAGAAGTCAAACAGACCTGGGTTCATTACATAACAGCCACTAACCTTGAGCAAGGGACTTTCACTTCTTTAAGCCTCAGTTTTTTCATCAGTAAAATCAAATACTACTACCTGCATCTCCAAAAATAGGTGAGAAGACTAAGCCAAGTGAGTGTCAAGTGCTTAGCACAGAGCCTGACACCCACCCACTAGGTAATCAATACATATTTCTGTCTTTCCCTAAATCAGCAATGGGGGTTAAAATGGAACATGCCAACATATTAGAGCTCCCTAAACATTAACAGACACCCCAAAGCTTCAACAGACTAGAAATGCCAATCACAAACTAGGAAGTGATCTTTCACCTCAGCCTTTACGTCCCATGGGAATGCACCCTTAGGATCCCAGAACTAAGCACTGTTACCCCAGGACAGATGACCACTTCCCAGATGACTCTACCCCAATTGACCAACTGTCCTCCTCCCAGCGTTTCTCTTCCAATAGTGCCCAATCTACAGGAATATTCCTCTGCATCTCTGGTGGCAGTGTGGGGAACCCCTTCCTTGAGACTCTCAAGCCCCACTGCCTCTTCTGTGCCGCTCCAAACACAACCTAAACCTGGAGAGGCCAAAGAGGTGGACTCGATGCCACAGAGTGGAGGCTGCAGAGTACTGAGTGCAAAGAGCCTACTGCACGCCACCCTCTCCTTACACCAGCAGCACCTTCTCAGCTTCTGCTCTCCCGCTGGTATCCGCCCTCCTCCTCTTGCCAGCAGAGACCTTAATCCCTCTTGACAGGAGCAAGGGAAGGCTCAGTGCCCTGAGGGCCTAGAAGCAGCCGAAACAAGAACCAAGAACATGCTCCCCACCAGCCAGATCAGGCCCCAACATGGGTCTCCTCCTGGGTGGGGTCCATGAAGGACCCCTGGGAGGGTGAGGCCTCATTCACCCCACTTTGTGTACTGAAGCTGTTGCCCCGTCACTAAGGAGTTGTCAAAGGAGCTATGAACAGGAAACAAAGACAGAATGAGTCTAATCCCGCAGCTTTACTGACTGCCCCCCACCCTCCACTCATTACCTCACTTTGCAAGGCCGGAGGGCAGGGATGAGGTGAGGGGCAACACTCCCATCTCTGAGCAAAGCAGCAGCAATACTTCAACACCCTCAGAGCTCCAGGGAGGAGAACTCTTTAGGAGGGGAAACCGAGGCCCCAGGAAGCAGGGGAAGAATTACACTCAAGAAAGAGCCACGTCTGACTATATAGTGATACTCAGATTAAGCAAGCATGACTGCATATTAACAACTGTTGAATCTAGGTAGTGAGTACATGAGTGTTCACTGTACTATTTTTTCAACTTTGCTACTATGTTTGAATTTTTTAAAAGATTTTATTTATTTATTTTTAGAGAGAGGAGAAGGATGGAAGAAAGACAGAGAGAAACATCGGTTGGTTGCCTCTTGCACGCCCCTAACGAGGGACTTGGCCTGCAACTCAGGCGTGTGCCCTGACTGGGAATTGAACCAGCGACTTTTCAGTTTGCAGGATGATGCCCAAACCACTGAGCTACACCAGTCCAGGCTATTTGAAATTTTTTTAAATGAATCTTGGAGAGAAAAAAGGGTCAGGAATTGAATTTGTTGCTCGTTATAGGAAGAACCAATGAGAAGGGAAAAGGAAGGATGATTAAGACTCCAAACTGAGAAAATGGGCTATGAGTAAAAGAATTCCAAGGCAGCCAAATAAACCATCTAGGGAGGGCTGGGCTGTACAAACTAGACAGGAGGATCCCAAGGAAATGGGAATTGAAGCCCAGAAAGTACAGATTCATCTGAGAAGAAGGGGACAGGAGGAGGGGAGAGGACTGGCTACAGGACAGCGGGCTTGGGTAGAAGATAACAGCACATATTAGACAATGGAAACGCAGCGGGTAGGGAGCCAAAGTATATCTGGGCTTTGTGCTACTAAATCACCTTTTGACATTTGAATAAGTCTCTTAACTTCTCTGGCACTGTTTTGTTGTTTTGTTTTGTTTTTTATCAACAGCATAGTAGAATATTTGGAAATGTGTGCCTGTTACAATGACTAGGGTAGGGGGTACTAGCACTCTATGCCTAGGAGCAGGGATGCTAAGCACCCTGCCCATCAAGGAACTCTCTCACCTAAAATGCCCACAGCCTTCGCACTGGGAAGCCCTGGACCAGATGGCACCAAAGCATCTCCCAAATGTTTATGGTTCTAAAGGGTGCTCTCCTGGGAACATGACGCAGGATAGGAGAAACAGGCTTCAACACAGCAAAGGTCTGAAGTCCCAGGTAAGGCTCCACACAGAAAGGAATGAAAACAAAACAAAACAAAACAGGAGGGGCAAAGAGGATAAACAGCTGTGCTGGACGCAGAAATAGAAGGCACGGGCATGGTCCAAATGACCTCTCCTAGGCCTCCCCAGGCTGACACAACTCTGATTGCTGGATCAAGTGCATGATCACAAAAGGGAGGAGATCAAGAGGCAAGAGGGGATGGGGGCCAAGGGGATGGAAGAAACTGGGTTCATCACCCTCATATGAAAGATGGGAGAGCCGGCAAAACTAGAACACAGAGAGGCACAGGTCCCTCAGGAGGCGCGTGCCCAAGTCTGCCTCAGAGGAGCAAGTGCTCAGGGAATAGAGTGCCCCACCGCGGCCCCCACCAGCTGTCACAAGCTGGAGTGAGGGTCTGAGGGAAAAGCCAAACTCAACAGCTTATGTCTAAGGAAGGGAAAAAAAAAGTCTTAATACATGGCCTGAGGGCATTGCGGGGAGGGTAGAGAAGAACGAAGGCTATTTATAAATGTCTACAGGATTCTGCATCAATTAGAAAGGATTGCCTGGGAGGAGCTGGGAGCAAAGTGGGGACAGGTCCAGGCAAGGAAAGATGCCAGGAAAACACTCTTGAGAGGTCAGGGATAAGAGCTGGAACATCGCCCTGGCTCAGTCCCAAGTTCAACTCTGTTGTCAAAATAATGGTGTCAAAATGGTGGTAGAAGGGAAAAAGAAAGGGAAGAGTTAAGAGTCAAAGAGTGGGCATCTGAGGCCTCCTGGCTCACAGCCACTCAGTCCTTGGACCCTAGTGTCAGAGGGGATACAGAGTGTCAGAAGCAGCAAGACAGCACACTTTCTGCCAGTTTCCTTGAGTTTGACTCACCTTGAACTCCAGAAGGAGGGACAGGGGTTGGGGGGCCTTGCTCGTAATCCACTCCCACCTCCCACTGCTTCTGTTTTGCTATCAAAGGCTGACTTGAAAACAGCTTAGGTCGGGGCAAGAAGGCCAGAGGGTGGAGAAAAGGTTAAGCCATGAGCAAGAGGGCAGCAGAGGGACAATTCGAAGTGGGAGGCCTGAGCAGTTCTCTAGAGGTCAGGGCCAGACCCCTGACTCAGCATCCATTCACTCCCAACCCAGCGTGAGGCACAGAGGGAGGATGTTAAGAATTTCCCTCTCCCAAGGTCCATACACTACTCAAGAAACTTTAAAATCTAGGGAAAGACAAGGTATGACAGGAAGATGTATAAAAAGAAAACAAGCTTTGGAGGGGTAAGGATTCTCACTGATCTTCATGTGTCTCTATGCTCATCCTCTATAAAAGGCAGGAAGAAGACAGAAGAGATTGACATTGATGGTTACTCAAAAGAGATCTCCAAGAACCTTCCCACATGAGTGGGACTTGTGAACACACCTGCTCCACAGCACAGTGAATGGAAAGCCTAGGCCAGCTAAACTGAGATCAAGCCCAAAGGGGGATCCAGGCACCCTGCCTCCCAATCAGCCCTGGGAACAGCCGAGGGCACCCGATGCGGAAGGAATCAAAGAAGGCAAAGGAGAACTACTACTTGTTCCAAGAGTAAAGCTCACAAATGAAGGAGAAGGAAAAAAAACAAATCAACACTAAGGAGAAAATAGATCAAAGAATCATGTCAAGCCCTGGCTGGTATAGCTCAGTGTATTGAGCACCAGCCTGCAAACCAGAAGGTTGCAAGTTTGAGTCCCAGTCAGGGCAACATGCCTAGGTTGCAGGCCAGGTTCCTGATTGGAGGCATGCAAGAGTCAACCAATTGATGTATCTCTCATACATCATTGTTTCTCTCCCTCTCTTTCTCCCTTCCCCTCTGTCTAAAAATAAACAAATAAGTAAATAAATTTTTAAAAAGAATCATGTCAAGACCCCAGGCTATCCTGCCAAAATTCTCATTTCCCAAAACCCTGCCAAAAATATTGTCCTCATTCCCAATTCTATGCAATTCAGACATGATCATGTGGTCCATAGGTGTCCTGCCCAGCCCTCCCTGCCCCACCTCCCCTTCCCCTTACTTACAGTTCCACAGACTCTAACATCATGCAGCCGTCCCCATTCGTCCTCATAACTGTCCACCATCATGACACTGTCGTCCTCACGGCCCAGCTCAGCGTTGAGGTGCAGCCGTACCTCCTCACCCAGGGAGTGCATGCCCACTGCTGGGAACAGCCCGTCTGGGGACATGGGCATGATGGTGGAGCCCACCTGAATGGGGGAAGCGAGGGAGTGCCATCTGGCTCACTATTCCGCAGCTCATCTAATTCTCACAGGGTACTTTTGAGATGATGCAAAAAATGATTATCACATGCACTGACACCGAAAAACAGGTACAGAAACAACTTTAAACCTGCTAAATACTCCTGGATGAGCAAGGCATCCACAGAGCTAGAAGGCAAACACAAGTCTCTCAGCTTGCTGCCAAATACTTTTGGAATGAGTGAGTGTGCCCTGAAGCAGGCAAGTGCTAAGGCCTAGGTGCTGACGGACTAGGACCCCTCAGCCAAGGCCCGAGGAAGCAATTTTCCCAGAGCGGAAGACAGAGCTGGATGGCTCTCTCTGCTATGTACTCTCATCTCATCTCTTCATTACTACTAATCTCTCTCTGAACCTCCACAATTTCTGCTCATCCTCCACTGTACTAACTGTCCCACTGCATCTGTCATCTGGGTAATGTCCCAACTTCCCCTGAACAGGGGAAGTGTCTTCTCCTACACGTAAGACACTTCAGGAGAACCTGAGGCTGGACTGAAGGAGATTGAAACTGAGCCTGTGGGTTCCTGGGCAAGTCCCAGCCAGCAGACTCTTTCTAATCACTCCCACAAATTCTTAAACACCTTCAAACTGCTTAAAACCAACTTGGGGTTTCCCACTTACCCGCTTTCCATTTTTGGTGAAGAAGATCTGAGCAGTCTGAACATCAAAGGACACCGGCTCAATACCGCAGCCAATCCGGTCCCCAGAGTTGCACTTTGATCCAAACTGGCGGCCCTTGGCTCGGCCATTGTACAGCCTGTGGACAGAGTAGCACAGACACAGGACCTGAGCTGAATCTCCCAGCTTCTCCCCAGCGCCAATAGCTGCGGCCTCATCTCGCTGCAGCCAGGCACTCTGCAACAGTGTCTACCTACATCCTGGCATGAGTTCCACCCTTCCCTCTAAGTCTGCAAACCTCCAAGGGTAGCCATTAGGCCACCTTTCTGTCCTGATCAGAAAAGTCTATGAAAATACCCCAGCATAGGTGAAGGAATGGCAAAAGCCACTCTGAAGTAGTCCTTTATATCTAAGGCCCCTGAACCCATAGGAAGGAGGTCCGGTTCCACAGAACGCACTCACTTGCCATCATCAGCATGGTAGGCTACAGAGTCAGGCAACCAGCCAGGCTGGTGATCCAAACTGTAGTACTGAGGGACCAGCCCCACAGCAATGGTGCCTCGGACACCACTGTCCACAATAGACACCTAGAAGGAGGAGAGCAGGGCACAATTAGCACAGAAAGGAAATGGGAACTGCTGGGGGTGCAGAGAAGGGGAGTTAAGACATCAAAGGGGACTGAGTCTCAAAAAGTCAACAGACATGAGCATCAAACAAAAAGAGAGGGCACTCAGAGGCAGAAGTGGGAGAGTGAGGCCTACTTTACTGTGATTACTTAGAAAATAATTTCCAATTAATGGATAGAAAATGCAGTAGATGCTGGGCTTGGGTTAGGGACTGGGAGAGGACATAGGTCAAAGTCTGGGATATGGGTCAAAGTCTACTTAGATGAGGGGCAGGAGACCATGACAGGACTCCAGGGCATCTATTGCTCAGATTAAGCACCATGCTATTCCGTGCCCTTTCCCCAGCCAACAGGACAGCCCTTATGGAAAATTAAAAGGTCCAGATCATGAATCTAGTAAAAAAAAAAAAAAAAAAAAAAAAAACACCAAACCAGGTCCATGGAGCTTAATGACCTCACCCCCTGCTCTGCCCACCTCAAAATAATTGCTGTCCTTGGTCAGGGGTCGAGAAGCAACATAGCAGCCAACTTCTCCAGAGTTTCCATGGTAACTGAAGGAGAAATGAGTGGGAAATTCCATTAGCATCCTAGTCCAGAAGCTGGGGGAAGGGCCTCATCTCCAACCCCCACCCTACGAAGGTCAGCACAGAGGAGAATCCACTACGCCACAGTTCAGGACATCTGCACAGACAACAAAAGATACTTGAGGTCACCCACCCCACCCACTGCCTCCAATCAGGATCCAACCCACACCAGACCAACACAAGCCTGGCTTCTTCATTTCCAGGGGGAAAAGAAAGCAGAGCCTCCCTAAATTGCCTACAGGGGTCTCACAACCCTGTCTAACCTCAATCCCTCATGCTGCAGCTTCGGCCCTTTTCCTCTGGTTCTGTCCTCAGTGGAACTGGAAAACGGCTGGTCTCTATCCTCTGTACCAAAGCCCTTCATAGATGGGAAGACAGTTATTCAGTCCCCACTTTCTTATTTCCAGGCTAAACAGCACTACTTCCTTCCCCGCTTCAGTGACAACTTTGTGAGAGAGTTAGCCTCTGAAGGAGTCAGGGAAGGGGTTCAAGCCAGAAACAAGAGAGAAAACAAACACAAACACACAATCCGAAGGGTTGTAAGGTGGTGAGTGGGATGCACTACATAACTGTCCTTCCCCAAACAGGAAATCCACTGCCTTTAAAATGGCCTCTCTTCACCTAAGGCAACCCCTGAGACACAGGCAGGAGACCCTGACACCACATAGACCCACGGGAGTCCTCTCAACAGGCACTCGGGCACCTCCTGAGACCCCCAGGAGCCTCCTCTCACATGATTGCTTCTGATGCAGACCAGGATAGTAACTCAGAGACACAGGCAGAAGGGAGTGCAGGAGGAAGCAGCACACACTGTTCCACCCAGAAAGGCCTCCACAGTCAACAACATTCCCCTCCCAGTGCAGTGTAGACATTCCTCTGCCTCTAAAAAAGCCCGCCCAGATGGCTCAGTTAGTTGGAGCATCGCCCCATACACCAAAAAGGCTGCAGGTTCAATCCCCGGTCAGGGCACATACAAGAGGCAACAAGTCAATGTTTCCCTCTCTCATCAACGTTTCCCTCTCTCTTCCTTCCTCTCTTTCTAAAATCAATAAACATATCCTTGGGTGAGGATTAAAAAAACTAAAAAGCCCTTTTCCATCTCTAAGATCTGGCACGAAAGGGAAAATGTGGAAAAACTCTCCTAAACTCACCTCAGAGTGTCTCCATCTACGAGAATGTGCTTGAACCTCTCCTGATACCGGAAAGCCCGGACCTCCCGAATCTCTCGGATCCGCCGGCGCCAGTTCAGAAACCGGTAGTGCAGATTGAGGTCATCCATCTTGTTCATGAGAACAAACCTGCGGGTGGGGAGAAAGGGAGTGAGGAGAAAGCAGGGCTGGCCCTTAGCAAAGCATCTAAGCCTGTTTCACCAGGAATGTAGTGACAGCACTGGACTTGAGCTGGTTGCCCAGACTGACCTCAACAATCTTCATCCTCATCCTTTCATTCAACAGAGATTTACCGTCTTAGGTGCTGGGGACATGCTGTGAACAAGACGGATGAGATGCTTGTTCTAACAGGGCTTCCATTCTAGTGTAAAGAGGCATGACAGAAAATAAATAGAGAGAATCATATTTGACAGTGGAGGAAAAAACAGAGCGAGGTGATAAAGAATATGGGGTGAGCTCTGTCTAAAGAAGGCGTCTCTGAGGAGGTGCCATTTGAGTTGCGATGCGGAGCCAGACATGAGACAAGTCCAAGAAAGAGCATTCCAAGTACAGAAAACAGCCAGGGCACAGGTCCTGGGGTAGAAGGTACATGGCATGGTAGAGAAATGGAAAGGCCAGGATGGCTAGTGTATAGGGAATATGAGGAATAATACAAGGGGATGAGAAGGCAGGAGCCAGATTAAGGCCCTACAGGCCACAGTGAGGAGTTTGTATTTTATTTCAAGTGTGATGGGAAACATGTGGAAGGTTGTACTTTGGGGTGTTTTTTTTTTTTTAAAGATTTTATTTATTTATTTTTAGAGAGAGGGGAAGGGAGGGCGAAAGGGAAACATTAATGTGTGGTTGCCTCTTGTGTGCCCCCTACTGGGGGCCTGGCCCGCAACCCCGGCACAAGCCCTGACTAAGAATCGAACCAGCAGGCTTTCAGATCACAGGCCAGCACTCAGTCCACTGAGCCACACCAGCCAGGGCTCTGTAGAGGGTTTTAAGCAAGGAAATGATATGAACTTAAGGTCTGTCAGGTGTTAAAGATCATACAGGCTGCTGGTTGGAGAACTGACCATAAGCAAAGAGAAAGTGGTGAACAATTACCAGATTGTCGCACCAGTTCAGATGAGAAATGGCATCCATTAAGATGGCAGAAGTGAAGATGGAGAGTAGAATGATCTGGGTATTTGAACCACCAATGGGGCTAACATATGAATGAATGAATTTTTCCTGGGAGCCGAAAGTAAGGAAAAAGGTGAAGTACTTTTCTCTTCCTATCCCCCAAACCCTGACACAGGGGTTCCATCAAGGCCGGACAGTGCTTTGCACAGAGTAGGTGCTTTAATAAACCTTGGCTGGGCTGAATTCAATCCCAAACCAGCCACCACGTGGCCCTGGAATCGATCCAAGGTAGATACTGGCGTCCCAGACCTAGGAGCATCTGCTTGCCCAGAAACCCACAGCCATGGCATCGGGCAAAGTGGCGGCCGCACCAGCCCCCGCCTCCACTCCGGGCACGGCCTGGCCACTCAGACTAGACACAGGGGCAAAGCGGCCGGCCTGTCAGTGTGACTACGCCCAGTCTCCCCAATCCCGGCACTGGGCCGTGGGCCCTAATGGGAGCCTCCAGTCCAGAGTGCAAGGTGCCACCCATAACCTCGGAGCCCTCGCCCAAGACCCCAGCCTCCCGCCTCAGGTTCCGGGTAGACCCGAGATCTCTGGGACCCCGCCCCCGATCCCCGCCTACCGGGGCCGCCGCGTCCTCCTCATCCATAGGCCTCTCAGCTCGCACTCTAGCTCTTCGGCCGCCGCCACCACGCACATCCGGGTCCCCTCCCTTCTCACGCTGTCCAAGGCCCGCCTCACACCATCATCTCCGACCAATCCAAAAACGGTCTAGGACGATGGGCACCTGATACCACCAATAGAAGGGCGTAGGCGGGGTCGGGCACGGTCCGGTGAAACGGGTACCTAGCGCTGGGTCGGGTTTGGTAAACCCCGGTGTGGGAAGGGTGGGAGGCGGCGACGTGGCGGCGCGCACGCGGCAGGGAGGTCTGGGCGCTGACGGGGCGTTGAAGGGGTGGCTCCTGAGCTGGGAGGGGCAGGCGGAGAAGGCTGTAGCGCCCCAACAAAGACTGCGTGTTTCTTGGGCGCTAGTCTGTGGCAGACGTGATACTAAAACCTTTGCGGGGCTGTCCTTTACAGTCAACAACGTTATGAAATGAATCTTATATTTTGCAAATGAAGAGCCTGAGGCTGGCGTCCATAGTTCGTAGGCTTAATGTAACCACATGCTTTAAATTTTCCTGAGCTACACTATTACTGTATTACAGTCTTCCGAGCTTTATTTCATGTAACCTTTAGCTCACTCTGGGATATTCCCTTCCAGGAGAGAATTTGGAATGCATAAAGCACAGTGGCATGAACCGGTTCACGGACAAAGGGGTTTGATGTGACTTAAGAAAGTTAGGGTGATGCCCTGGCTGGTGTGGCTCAGTGAACTGGGTGCCAGCCTGCTAACCAAAGCGTTGCTTGTTTGATTCCCAGTCAGGACACATGCCTGGGTTGTGGGCCAGGGCCTGCATGGCTGGGTGTGCAAGAGGGAACCACACATTGATGATTCTCTCCCTCTCTTCCTCCCTCTCTAAAAATAAATAAATAAAATCTTTAAAGTTAGGTTGATCCCTGGTCAGAGTGTCTCATCTCATTTGGTTGGAGTGTCCACCTGTTCACCGAAAGATCCCTTTGATTTATCCCTTATCCTGAGGCCTGGTTTCCCTCTCCTAATGAACCCTGAACACACTCTGGGGCTCTCAACTCTGAGAGCAAGAGGAGAGAGAGAGGGGGCTGAAGGAGTGAGAGGGTCAAGAGCCCCCCCTAAGGTGGTCTGGGCTCACTCAGAAATACAGAACACTGATGAAGCCTTAAGAAGAGTTGAAATGCATCCCCTTCAACTCTCTATGCCCTTCCCCAAGACTGCCTTTGCTCCCACCAAAAACACTAACCTTTACTTATATCAATTTCAAGCATGGCGATTGGAAGCTGGGGCCCAGAGATGAAGTAGGTGTAGGGTCCCTGACATCAAAGTACTCACATTCTAACTGGAAAAATAAGACACACAAAAACATAAATAAAACGAAGATAGCAACAAAAAACGTGGATGAATTCAGAGGAAGGCAGACAGCTGGCCAAGCAGGTGGGGGAAGCAATGGCAGAATTTGGTTTTAGTGAGGGAAATGTACGGAGGGTTTAATCCTTGTGAACTGAAAGTTTGGAGTCCAGGCAGAGAAATTACCTCTGAGCACCAACTATGCTACACCTTCACTTCCCTTATCACTTCAGATCCAGAGATGGGCTTCTTAGGGTTCTGGGGAAGGTGATCCAACCAGCTGTTTGAAGCAGGTGTGCTTCCAGGGTCATTGTCCATGGGGCCATGAGTGCCAGATGGAAGCTGGTGTTCTGTGGGAGAGGTGGGGAGGAGGGGAACATGGAGTGCCACCGAAGGCCTTTAAGGAGGAAAAAGGTTCACAAGCAGGACTGTGCTTCAGCAGGACCAATTGGGAGGCTATACGTGGGATAGATGGCAGAAAAAGAGGCTGGAGGCTGGCTGAGGATGCCACAGCAGTTCCTATCAGGCCCACACCAGGCTTAGTCCATGTCATGGTGTGGGCATTGATGCTTCTCCCTAGGTTTTTTTTGTTTTGTTTTTGGTTTTTTTGGTCTATGGACTATTCCACCACTTGTCTTTTTTCAGACTCAAGACAAAAGGGTCCAGGCAGGGAGGCCCCCTCCTTTACATCCTTGTTCTCAAAAGGAAGTCAGCAACTGGAGCTGCCATGATTTTGGAGGGAGGGCCTAGGTGTGAGAGATACAGAACACAAGAAATCAGGAGAGCAGAATATAACATGCAAGAGGAAGAGGAAGTCCAGGCAGAGTTTGTTTATAGAAAGGCCTGACTAGCAGTGTAACCAAAAGCAGGTCTGGCTACCTGCCACTATAAAAGCCAATAATCAGTAGGCAGGTGTTGATGTAAAAGGAAGTGGTTTATTTTCAGGTGCCGGCCACCTGGAAGATGGGGGACTCACATCTCTTCCCAGGCCCATCACCTGGGAAGAGGGGGGACTCATGTCACAAAACTCATCTCCACCTCTCATTGGAGACAGAGGGTTTTTATAAGGAGGGAGAGGAGAACAGAACAAAGAGATCAAGAAGAGGGTTGAAAAGTTCTGTATGTGCAGATGAACACAGTCCATTCCGATTAGGCAGGTGATGATCCAGTGTACATCGTCCTGGTTTAGTCACCCTGGCTTCATGGTATCCCGGCTTCCATTCATCCTGGATCCATGGTTGAAGATCAGCAAATCTCCCAGAGCTGCGATGCCAGAAGGTCCAAGTCTGTATCTTTTGAAGTTAGTTCTTAGGATTCTTAAGCAAACATGCTGTTTATAAGCTACATATTAGTCAGAGTCAGCGCTTATAGAAACAATGTCAAGGGAATGATGGGGTGGGTTAAAATTTCCCGTCATTATAATTTTTCACTGTTCTAGCAATCCAAGCTGTCTAGCCTTTTCACAGCCCTGGCAGAAGCTTTCATCAAACTCCTCTCACAGACGCCAGACAGATTCCAAGGGGTTTGCACCTGGGCCCACAATCCATCTTGAATATCCACTATGTGCTCCGGATCCCTGCTCTAGATGCTGAGATGGAGAGCATCTCAAAGGGAAGAGGAAAAAATTCTTGAGTCTCAGTCTGCAAGAAAGAGCCTGGTTAGACCTCAGCACTGACCGCATACAGCTCCGGACTTCCCTGCTAGAGGGATGGGGAAAGGGGAAGTGCAGTGCTGGGGTGGTGGATGATACTGGATTGTGCAACCCAGTTTAGACTACAGGGAGAAACCTATCTGGGCAGGTGGGAGCATTAAATCTGTAGGGGTGGTGGTGGTGGCAGCGATGTGGAGGGGGGTAAGGGGGTAGTTGAGAAGGGAGAAGTGAGAAGAGAGTGGTAGATATGAGAGGCTAGCAGGGTATTGGGTTTTTGTGCAATATAATCCAGAAAAGAGGATCACAAAAATATTCCAAAAGCAGACACTGGGATCCTGCAGGGAGCACACCCATCTTATCCCCTTCCAACTTCCAACATGTCTTTCTGTCTCATTCAGAAGCAAAGAGCTGGAGCCCAAGAGAAAAGCCCTTGCCAAAATGATGTGCAGGGCAAAATAAAGTGATAGGGTTTGAGGACAAGACAGAGCTCTGCACCCTGGGGTCTGAGCTTGGGGCCGGATGTCACGGGGCCTCTGTCAAGTGGAGGAGAGCTGCCTCCTCTTACTCCTCAAACCCCTGTCCTCCCTACCTGTCCAATCTGCATCAGTGTCTCAGGGCTGCTGGAGGAATGTGGTTGTAGGGTCCCAGGGTAGGCCTGGAGGGTGGTGCTGGGAGTGAGGTTCTTTTATTTTGCATTTACCTAAAAGTTCAGGAAACCTTGACATTCTTGCTTGGAAGCCCAGAATTTAAACTTAGTCACTGCCCAGAGCTCTTGTTTTAGGAAAGAATGAGATGGCTGTTGCGTAACCCAGAGCCAGGAGGGCGTGGGTTGCTGAAGAAAACAGTCCTTCCTCCCTCTAGGAAGGAAGGCTGGGCTAGGAAGGCTGGGGAGGGGCGGGGCCTGGGAGAGGGCGGTGGTGGGGTGAGGAGACAGACCTCTGTAGTGAAGGCCCTCAAGCCTGCCCACCCGGACCAGTCACAGCAGGACACCCCTGGGCATAGTACAGCCTGATGAAACCAGTATGAAACCACTGGTTGATACTGGGTGGGAATGGAGTGAGGGACAGATTCTGGAAGGAAGAAGAATGGAGGGTAGGCTGACCTGAATAGCGGGGAGAGAATGGAGGGGGCAGGGTGTCCTGCTCTCTGGTCACTGTTCCCAAGAACACCCGGAGTATAACTTTTGCCCCCACATAATTTCAAATGGCCAACCCCCCACCCCCCAATTCCCAGGTGTTCAGCCAGTTCTCACCTTCGCACACTTGCCCCGCTGCAATACTTCCAGACTCCCATGACCCCACCACAACACTAGGGTTTCTGGCAGTTTATTCAAGGTGTGCCTCCCCACCTCACCCCTTGTCCCCCAACCGTTTCTATCATCTTAGCCCATTGTGGCTCCCCTGACACCTGTTTTTCCCATGGTCACATTTCAGGGAGAATTTCTCCTTCTCTCCTTGCCCTTGGTCTATTTTCTCCCATCAGCAGTTGGTGGTCCCAAAACTCCATTGTCCATCATATCGGCTTTTTTCTCTTTTCATTTACCCACATCCCTTTCCTGACCCCCACACACCATCTCTTCCCCTTGAACCTTTAGACCGTTATCTTCTTAGTCCCCATGGGAGTCCTTCTGTCCCTTGTATCCTCCTGCACCTTCACACTAACTGGATTTCAGATTTTTCTTTCATCTCAACTGCCTTCCTCTCCTCTTTTCGCCCCTCCCCAACCTCCAGTCCCCTGAGCCAACTGTCCTCCCAAATTCCGGGCGAGATTCCCGGGAACAAAGCAAGAAAAATCAGAGTAATTTGGGAAGTAAACAGAAACTGGGAAGGGAGGGGGTTGAAGAAGAGTGGGGAGGACCCAGGTTGGGGGGGGCCTCTCCAGTCCCACCCAGTTTAGGGAATGCCTCTGCCTCCTACCCCCCCTCCTTCACCTGGCTCTTAAAGGGCCGGGCCCCTGACCCGCGGCTATTTAAGGCAGAGGGGTGGCTGGAGGCAGCAGCTGCGCTAGGACTGCTCTGAAAGGAGTGGACCCGGTAACAATCCTGACCATGACCCCCCACAGGCTGCTGC